AGAGAGAGACGGAAAGAGAAAGAAAGAGGGAAAGTTCTCCCGTTAAAATCTCAGCCACATTGTTATCTGATCATCTGACAAACCTAGGAACATGGCGATCGGAAAAGAAGCCATGTATATATCTCTCGGTTTTTCTTTCCCCGGGGGGCATGGAGGATACCTTATATCCTTTGTATTTTGCCACTCCCTTCCCCCTAACGCTTTTGGCCTTGTCCTAGTAACGATTGGTTGTTTTTTTTTGTCCACACATTTTTTCCCTTTCTGCAAGGGAAGAAGATACACACATATACAAACAGACATACAAACACACACACACAAACACACATACATACACACACACGAACACACACACACAAACACAAACACACATACACACACACGCACAAACTCACTTTCACAAACACACACACATATATATATATACACACACACACACACATACACACACACCCACACACATCATATATTTCCATACCCATCACACACGTGAACGGCTCTCCACCACCTCCGACCTCTTATGCACCTATATTTTTATTACACTAAAACAATATTACCACATGGAACAGAAGCTCAATTTGGCAGAAGCCAGTTGTAGGTGCGTTTGGCCCAGAAAACACAACAGTGCGATATGATTTCCTCGGTTCACCTACGCCAGTAAAAGAAGTACTGAGAATGCGAAATAATCCTAGTAGCGTAAACTGGTAAACCCATAGGTCAAAGGACATCTTTATGACTGAATTGAAGACAACGGACATAGCATATTGCACAAATTGGCTATTAGTTATGTAAAATAACAATTAATAGGGACTTACAGCTTGTACCCTATGCCTAGAGCTACTTGAATGCGAGAAATGATCAGACAACAACACCAAAGCAAAACTTTTTTCCTCAAGTCAACTGCACACCGCTCTCTGCGAGGTAAAAATGTACTAACAACGTAGCCGACTACTAGCTTCTGTTTTGGTTCACTTTGAAAGGATTATTTTAACTTAGTCACCGATCCTTGCAAGTGTTTGTCAGAGCAAGTATCCTACAACACGTTTCCCCTGAGTGTCTGATGTAATATACTCTTGCCTTCCTCTTTGCGCCCACGGTACAATCTGATCTTGTTCTTTCTTCAAGGTATCGTGTCACGAACTTCGTGCCCCGATAATATGACGCCATTTTTTTCTACTCCAATGATCTTCCGACACAGAATTATGGAATATCTGTCAATCGCTGTTTGGTCAGATGAGAGATGACCCACGAGTAGTGAGGACCTCGTAAAATGTTTCATGATGTGAATCAATTATTGAACCTTACGGAGATCGTGCGGAGCGCTATTAAATATGCCCACAACAAAGGGGGCAATTGAAAGGGAAGGGAGTGCAAAACTGTAAAAGAATTTAGCATAAAGGGGGTTGGGATGGGTGGGTTGGTGGGGGTAATGGGAGCTAAAGGCAAACTCGGAGGGAAAACAATTAATTTGGATGTCAACTGCTTTTGTTCCTAAGGACGTACTTCTGACAATTAATGTATTTCTCTTAATGAAGAAGAGAGTTAGTGACAGGATACTATTGCTTCTGACGCAATGCAACGTTAGTTGGAAAACTTAATTGAGTGTGGGAAAGGTAGTACATGTAGTTCAGCGAGATCCTGGTTGCTGAAAGGAAAAGAGGAAAATTCAGGTTCTATGTAGTACATGTATTTCAAGCCCTTCTACACGACCGTGAACGCTGGACAGTCAACAATGATAGTGACAATAATCTAGGAGCAACAGAGATGTGGTTCTTTAAGAGATTGATGAACATTTCAAGGTAGAAACAGAAACCAAAAGAGGTAGTTCCTAAGCCTGCATAGGCTGTGCATGAATAAAAACAATTTGGAAGAGACAAATGAAGTTCCTGGGACACTTCAATCAACATAAAAGCCTTGTTATCGTTGGTTGAAGCTGTTCTGCTTATGCCTAACAGTATTCCCAACGTAAGACCAACAGTCAAACTGTGGAACAATTCTTGGTACAGTCCTTATCTTTGACAGTATTGCCTCATGGAGCGCAGGTTTTTCGTCCGCGTGAAGTGCTCGCTGCTGTATCTGAAGGTCTGGGTGTCTATAACCCGAAACGTTTTCTCTTCACCTCAAAAGTGTCGCCTTTGATCTCCGACAAGAGCTGATAAGAGACCTTGCACGTTTATTTTCCTATCGCTTATAGGGAGTGAATAGGTATACATAAGTTTGCTCGCTCCTCAGCTGAGGGGGAAAGTGGGAGGGGTCCTGCGTAGAGCACCCGGTCTAACTACTTAACACCGCTTTGACAAATGATGTCAAAAGTGTGGGTTTTTTTCGGGGGTGGGGGTATTGAGGTGGTATTGGTAGTAGATTGAGTAAATGACGAATACCCTTTAAAACAACCGAAAATCCTCCACAGCCCTTTACACAAGTTGGTGTGTTTGTTTTGTAATATTATTTCACTTTAGTTTTACGTGCCTTTCAGCAAATAGTAGCTAACACAGAGGAGGGACATGCCAACTGATGTCCGTCTCCGATGTCAGGGAGCTGCGGGCACAGACACAAAGTCTCTCCCAACAGAGCTCAGCTGGTCTTAAACAGTTCCGTACAGCACAATGGCCTTAGCTACTCTACTTTCTACTTTTTTCGTTCTCTTAAATCGTTAAATATCGCGGGGATGTATGCATTTTTAGCCAAGGGATAGATGGACGGCTTCTAACACAAAAGTCAAGAACGTATTCCACCTAATTTTTCAAAACAATAATTCATTGAATTTTGGTACATGCGCGTAGGATGTAGCCCGTAACAAAAATGACTTGGAATGACCGGCTGTTGTTTTTTTGTATTTTTATGAAGTTTTAATAATCAGCTTTGACTTTAAACTTTAAACTCTTTAACTTCAGAAACTTAAAACAGTTAAAACTCGATTTGGATCAGTAACCTGCATCCCTATCTGAAGACACATCTGCATGACGTCATCCGGCCCCCGATGTGCTGTGTAGAATTATGATAATCCAAGAAAATCCTTGCCGTCGCCAAGAAAGTTTGTTCCATAAACCCCGCTCGACGCCTGCATAATCCAGAGGTCTGTTAATGTACCATCAACGTCCTTGTCCTTGACCCAGTTCATTCGATGGTCTTGGAAAAAAACATTAGCCTCACCGCCGTCTCTGGTGTAGCGCTTAGACGGTTCGCCGTTGCAGGAAAAAGACAAAAGTTCAATTCCAGTGTGAGGAGAATTTTTATCGAGTATTTCGGTCTTTCTACTGAAACTCTTAAAAGAAGCAGGAGACAAATAAGGCTCTCATTTTCACTACACCACCCTACACCCCTGGATTCGATCCTCAAACTCTCACCGTCTCTATAACGTCCAGCGCGTCATGCCACTCTTACAAATTGGGTGGAGAACGTCCCACATAATAATTGTGATCCAAGGGAATCTCCAGCCTCGACGGCTAACTTTGCGGCGTCGGTTTCACGCTGTTGGCTATTAATTTCTTCAGTGTACGCCTGTCCCTGTGTGGGGGACATTCCTGTAAGGGACACCAGTTGTAAGTTCGGGCACGGTGACCTGTTCTCTTGCTCTCTCTCTCTCTCTCTCTCTCTCTCTCTCTCTCTCTCTCTCT